ATTCCAAGGCGCAGGTCAGCCCCTTGCGGTGTGGACTGACATATTTCATAGGAAAGCACTTTGGCTGTTCCTGAGACATGCATTTTTTTCTAGATAAATGCATTTTTAAAGCCTGGCCAACAGTCTCTTTCCCTAGCTACTCAACACTAAGGATTCTAAGAAGCTGAAAGAAAAAAGAAAAGGAAAACTTTGCCATGGGGGAGAGTGGGGAGGCAGCAGGATCTGCCTGGATTCCAGGCAAGCAATTTTACAGCAAGACCCACTGCTGGAAGCCCCAGAGTGGAGCTCGAGCAGCAATTTTCTTCAAGCCACCTGAAAGGTGGGCTAAGTGACCGTGACGTCACTCAGTCCACCGCTTACCCAAACCTGCAGCTCCAGGGCTTTCCACCCACCCACCCAACTCCTCTTCGGGGGTAAACCCTTATCCTTATCCAAAAGACCGAGGGAGAAGAGCTGAGGGGAACTGAGGGGACAAATGTCCCCCACCAAAGCCATGCAGAGAGCCTTGCTTTCTCCATTTTTCCTCCTTATTCATCCACCAAGTATTTTGCAGGCTGCTCTGGGCTAGGTGTAGGGACATAGCCACGGACACCCTGCATGTGGTGCCTGTCTTTTGAGGACAGTGGGAGATACCACGGACCACATGACAACACAGTGAGATCTGTGCCCCATAAGAGGGGACTGTGGCTGCTGTGAGCCTGTGGCAGGGGAGCGGGACCTGCACTTTGGGGACAGGCAGGAGGAAGGGGCACTCAGCTGAGACCTCGAGGGGGGTTGGGAGAGGACAAAGAATAGTCCAGGCTGGGGTCCGGTAGCCAGAGAGGAGGGGGGACATGGAACAATGTGTACTTCTTCCTCTTTCCACCCTCCTCTTCCTCACACAGGGCCCAGGGCTTAGAAGGAGTTGAATTCAGTGACCGACACTAAGGTGAGACCCTCCATGGGTCTGACCTGAGGGGGCACTTGTGCTGGGTAAGGAAGGCCAGCTGGGTGAGTCCACTGGTGTCGTGAGGGGACGCTTCTAAGAAGAGAGCCTCAGTTGGTTACAGCATGGTCTTGTAACACCTATGCTGAAAACAGGTGTTTCTCGGGGGACAGGGACAGAAATGAACTCAGCACGTACAGGAGGGAAAAGGAAACGGCCAGCAGCGGAGGGCAGGTCTGGCTTGGCTGAAGCACAGGAGAGGACCCCCCTGGGCCGGGCGCGGGGGTCTCTGGCAGCCC